AAATATTATTTAGATATTAATTTTTTAAAAGCCACATTTAAGTAAAAAATACCCTAATACTGAAATTATGTGTAGCTCCAAACAACTTTTAAATAGTTCATTTGATGTGGCCCCAGTGTCGAATGCTACTAGAGGTCTCGAAGGGGTCCACCACCAAAATTATCAGCAGTTTCTGTCCGTGGATCGAAACAAAGATGGATCGGACGGTGAATCAATGATGTGGAAGACAAAAGGAATAGAGATAATATCGATAATACGTGGACGTGAGCATGCAAGGCGTTACAAACTCCCGCAAGATAAGAACATGACGTATGACCATGACAAGTGGACGGTTGATATTTAACTTTTCTCATCTCTCCCGGTCTATAAATTCAAAGCCATTGCAATCTCTGTAAACTCGTTCAAGTGTTGTTCTCTTTGTAAACTCATTAGAATCACTTCAAATTTTCATCAGGAAAAAGGAGCGAAAATGTCTTGCTGTGGTGGAAACTGTGGCTGCGGTTCTGGCTGCAAGTGCGGCAGCGGCTGTGGAGGGTAGTTAATTGCCCCTTTACTTTTGATTTTTCGTTTCAAATGAGTTGAAAATCTCATTTTTCCTTAAAGGGTACTTCAAAATCGCTTCTTTTTGCCACTGATCTTGTTGTTTTTTGTTCAAATGTTTGAACTTGTAGGTGCAAGATGTACCCCGACATGAACGTTGCCGAGATGACCACAACGGAGACTCTCGTCCTGGGTGTTGCACCCCAGAAAGCGTACGTTACAGAAAGTTCAACACTAGAAAACAATATTTCCTTTTAATTATTTTGTTTCTGATGGCTGTTAATGCATGGCAGACATTTGGAGGGAGCTGAGATGGAATTTGGGGTTGAGAATGACGGTAAGTGCAAGTGTGGAGACAACTGCACCTGCAACCCTTGCAATTGTAAATGATCAGACCAAGCTCACTGGACGCACTGGCCTTTCTGATCAGGAAATAATGTGTTTTCTTGTTTTGTGTTTAGAATAAAGTAGCCGTGGATTCCTTGTTTGCCGCCACGGTTACTTGGTGCTTACAATAGTTGTTGTTTAAGCTACTAATATTGTGGACTGTTTTATATTATGTGTAAGAAAATGAAGTCAGCCTTCTCATGAAAGGAAGCTCCTTTGGTTTTTTTACTCTTTTTTTCAATGTAATTATTTGCTGGGCTTCTTGGAAGAGTTTTTTACCCAATTATCATCAAAACAAAATTTAATATAAAAAATAATATTCATTTCAAATTTTTTTTCGAATTAACATCAATTTTTTTATCATGTATGATAAAGAGTTAAAAATGAAAGAAAAGAATATATATATATATATATATATATATGTATATATATATTATAAATATTGTCAAAAATAAATAAATATGATAACGCAGATATGTTATGGAAAAATATGGCAAATTCCATCAGAGAGGTGGGCAAAAACACCCTTGGGTTGTCGACGGGGAAGGCCAAGGAACATAAAGAATCGTGGTGGTGGAACGACGAAGTCCAAACTAAGGTGAAGACAAAACAAACTTGCTTCAAGGAGTTTCTTCAATGCAATGACGACGACGAAAGGTCGAGAGCTAAACAAAGATACCAGGAGGCAAAGCGGGAAGCCAGGAAAACGGTAGCTAAAGCAAAGGATAAGGCATATGAGGAAATGTACAAGAGATTAGACACCAAGGAAGGACAAAATGGCATCTTCAGACTTGCAAAATCTAGGGAGATTAGGAAAAAGGATCTAGGTAACATTAGGTTTATTAAGGACAACAATGGTGTTCTTTTAACGAAAGATCATGATATTAAGAGGGTTTGGGGTAGTTACTTCTTTGGCTTATTTAATGATTGTGCCTCTCCATGTAGAGATAGTATCGTTGATGGGTCAGCCGACCATCATACTACGGCCAATGACTGCCCTACAAGTAGAATTGGGTTTGAGGAAGTCAAAATGGCTCTTAGAAAGATGGGAAGGGAGAAAGCTGTCGGTCCTGATCAAATTCCTATCACTGTGTGGTTAGCCCTAGGAGAAGAGGGAGTTAAGTGGTTGACCAACATCTTTAATATTATTTTAGAGACTGCCAAGATGCCAGAGGAGTGGAGAGAGTCTACGGTGATACCAATCTATAAAAATAAAGGAGATCCCCAACGTTGTGGTAACTACAGAGGTATTAAACTACTCAGCCATACCATGAAGCTATGGGAAAGGGTGATAGAGGCTAGGTTGAGACAAGTTACTAGGGTTTCGGAAAACCAATTTGGCTTTATGCCAAGCAGGTCTACCACGGAGGCGATTCATCTACTTCGACGGCTTATGGAGAAATATAGGGAAAAGTCTAGAGATCTTCACATGGCGTTCATTGACCTCGAGAAGGCTTATGATAGCGTTCCTCGCGATACGATCTGGAAGACTTTGGAAACGAGACGGATACCAACTGCTTATATCCGGGCGATTCGTGATATGTACTGTAGATCTACTACTTACGTCAGGACTACAGTTGGCGACACCGAGGCATTCCCGGTGGAAATCGGACTCCACCAGGGGTCGGCTCTTAGCCCTTACATCTTCGCCTTGATTATGGACGACATCTATTGTGCGACACCAGACGGCGTACCTTGGTGTATGCTTTTCGCTGACGACATTGTTCTAGTTGCTGAAACAAAATCTGAGTTGAATAGTAGACTGGCTACCTGGAAGACTGCTTTGGAAGAAAAAGGTTTTAAGGATCAATATTGAAAAGACAGAGTATTTATGTTCAAACTTCAATGGGAACCAAAACGATGAAGATGTAGAAGTATGCATAGAACGACACGTTCTTCCCTCAAAGGATTGTTTCAAGTACTTAGGGTCTATGATACATAAAGATGGGGGTGTAGATGATGACGTTACACACCGTATAAAGGCAGGATGGCTAAAGTGGAGGGCCGCTACTGGAGTTTTTGTGTGACAAGAAGGTGCCTCTAAAACTTAAGGGAAAATTTTATAGAATGGCAATAAGACCAGCGCTGTTGTATGGATCAGAATGTTGGGCAACCAAGAAGGATCACGTAAGGAGGATAGAGGCCGCAGAAATGAGAATGCTTCGATGGACATGTGGTAGGACTCTGTGGGATATGACGACAAACTCTGCTATTAGGATGTCCTTAGGGGTGGTGTCTGTTTCCGAAAAATTGAGGGAGGGAAGACTACGGTGGTTTGGGCATGTCCTTAGGCGACTACCGTCGGATGCGGTCAGGAGGGTAGAGTCGATTACAGTCGACGGTGCCAGAAGGAAAGGACGACCAAGGCGGAAGTGGGAAGACTGCTTGAGATCTGATTTGATGGATTTAGGCATTACCGAAGACATGACCTATGATAGGAAATTATGGAGGCTTAAGACTAGGGTAGTCGACTAGTGTGGGTCACATCTATAGGGTGTATCATCTTTGTCTTCTTTTAAATGCATTTGTAGTAATTTCCATGACTTTTACTTTTTATACTTTTCTGTTATTGGTATTTATGAAAGATTAGAACTGGGCTTGCTATAATTGTCTTCTGTGTATCATTCTCGTCATGTTTCCTCTGTTAAATTTAGCCGGTCTTATGTTTCTGTCTATATGCAGAGATTCTTTCGCAGGGATTATTTTGCAGGGATTACTCCCCATTACAGAAGCACATATGATATTAATGACTGCATATGAATACTGTTTAGCTATGTATTTATGTAATTATTTATACATGCAGTGCATTTTATCTATATTTTTAATTTTCTGACTGCCGGAGGTCTTTCACGGAAGCTATTCTCAACCTGGCGTTGGGGGCAGCCTACTACCCTACCTCCCCCTTACCCCATACATATGGGAATTGGGTTTTGTTGTTGTTGTTGTTGTTGTTGTTTAAGATATATAATTACACAATTATAAATTGGGCAGTGATAGTAGTGTTGTGCGTGTATTAGTCTTATGTTTAGTCACTCATCAATTATATGTTTAATTATATTTAAACTCTAAAAATATCTAATATTTAAACAATGTGAGAATTAAAAATTTCATGAATTTATCAAATCTCGAATGATTTTTCTTATACTTTTTAGCTTTTTATTTTATTTTATTTCAGCTTACTTTTAAAAAATTTGATCAATATTTGTTACAATAGCGGAAAATGCTTTTAATTCTTTTTGAAAAGTACTTATTTAAAAAAAAGTGTTTATTTTATATACAATGTCAATTTAAAAAATAATAAAATATGAATATAATTAGAAATAATTTATAATGTGATATTTGGATTAAAAAAATATCCTTGGAAGAGAGGTAGTAGAGGATGACTTACTTTCATTTTAATGTGACTGATAAGGGCATTGAGGTGTGTGATTAATGCACAGAAAATGATGGATGTTGATGAGTCCACATCCAAATTATTAAGCCTTTCTTTACTGTGAATTTTGCAGCAAATTCGCTGTAAAATTTTGGGTCAACAAGGTGGAAACAGGACCGACTAGATCACATAAATCTGATACAAGTTTGACATTTTTACAACCATCTTCTAAAATTTTTAACAATCAGTACAATATAATGAATGTACTGCATGAATATTACGAGTTCTGAACTGACAGGCCAAGAAATAGTACATGAAACAAATTAGGCCATCAACTAAATCAATATTACTCAATAATTCCTTTTGCAGCTCTGCTGAACAAGTTGTAAACCTGCTTTGATGAGAGACCAATCTTTTCCAAGTCACTTAGCTGCAACCAAAGCCAAAAGCTGAGCTTTTTACCAATTCTAAAGACTCGTATAAAATGCATAGCAAAACTACTTACTGATTTTAAAGTTGATGTTTCTCTAAGTTCAATGATATACTCTGTCATCTTCGTTCCAATACCCTATATACAACAAATTACGATGATGTGTAATGAGAAAATTGGGGGAAAACTGCTTAGTATTACTTAGCTGAACAGTACCTTTAGTCCCAGTAGTTCTTCTCTGCTAGCTGTATTTAAGAACTCGACATATTCTTGAATAAGAGTGCTCTACAGGAAGGTTTATGAAGTTAGAACAAATGCAAAGATAGGGTCAATAGAAATTTAGCAAGTATAACACACATATATATATATACCTTCAAGTTAGAACTCCATGCGCTACGTTTATCAAGTGGGGTGTCACCAACAGTTTGGAATTTGTTGGTAGCAAAGATAATGGAAGGAGATTGGGGAGATTTTGGCTCATATGACAAGGAAATTTGATTCTTGGTTGATTGCTCCTTGATGGATTCTGGAATTATATTGGAACTTATGGGGCTCAAGGCCATTCTTAGAGGGCTTTGCATTGCGGTTTTCCTCTCACTAACTGGAGATACTTCAAATGTATCGACCGATTTTTCGACTGTGGTAGTCTCTCCCTTGGTAGATGATTCTTCTACAAATAGAATACATCGATTAAGAACCTTTATACTACTCACTTAAACAATTTTGTCAATAAATTTCATACATAAATAACATACCAGCTAAGTTCATAGTTGATTCCAACATTATCTCCTTAACATCAACTCCTCCATTATTGAATAAATTTCTGGTAGTCAAATATGTGTCCCTGCAGACATGTTTAACAAATTAAGCAATTAGTCTATGAACTCGGCTCCGAAGGGGTATTCAAATACCAGTCAAGTTATTTTGTACCTGACTTTGGCATTAGAATTTTGGGCTTTACAAGAGCTGTTATAATCAAGCTTCTTCATAGAACGTATGGAACTCGGTGTTTTGGCCATGAATTGAGGAGCAAATGGTCCCATCCTTTGTGCACTCTTTGTCTTGCCTTTCGTTTCAAGCCAGGCTTTCAGTTTTGCTTCCATATCAATTTTTTCCTTTGGTGTCTGTAGTTTTTGAGCTGAAGAAACAACATTTGAAATATGACGAGACCTAGCTGCTAAGCTAACAGTGTGAACTGATTCTTGGTACTCTCCAGGATTCTGTTCATGGAACAAGGAGAATATTGATCAAAATTTTAGAAATTTATAACATGTTTCAAAATGAACAAACTGAGAAATCTACCAGGCAAGCAACCATCAAGGCACGGCTAGTTCCACCGAGAGAGTCCTGCAGTATTCGAGTCAATTTGCTTTCCCGATAGGGTACTCGGGGCAGCTTGTTATTCAATGCATAAATCACATTCGACAAAGCAAACAAGGACTGGTTGATCTTAGCACTCTCTTGGAGACGAATGCCTTCATTGCAGGTCCTCTTATTATCCTCATTACCTAATAAAACTTAAACCAAATTAGTAATTCGAACTTCCTATGCAACAAACAATTCAAAGTCTGCAAAATTGGACAACCTGCTAAGTCTATGAGGTTGAGCTTCCCCATCAAAACAGGCCTAGAACCATCATCACAAGGAGTGGAAACAGCAATTACAAGGACGCCATGGCTTCTACTAGAAACATCATTGAGACCAGTATGTGCAACTTTCCTTCTCTGAATTCCATAGGAAAAGACTTCATGAAATTCAGACATGGAATTAATAGGCACCCGGGACAGGCCCCTTAGATGAACCCGCCCGTCTTTGTCGTCTAAAATAGAAATTTCTTCTGCTTTGAGTTCTAAAAGATCATAACACCTATCCATGTAGACCTCATAGTACGAAATCTCTGCTATACACCCTGTGCTTTGGCATATGGACAAGATTGTAGACATGGCCAAAGGCATTAGACCAGGATGCTTTTCTGTTCCCTGAATTTACAAAACCAAACATATTACTAGAAGGAACAACAGAGATGAAATGTAATTTAAAACAAATCAAGTCTTGTATCAAAACACCTAAAGCTGTAGTAAATTATTGAAATAGGAGGTTGTTTTCTTCACTGTACCTGCATGGTGTACGTTTTTCCACTTCCAGTAGCCCCATAAGCAAAAACGGTGGCGTTGAAGCCATGGAAGATTCCTGGAATCAAAGAGTTCACTTCTCCGTAGAATATCCTTCTGACATTATCATCTTCTTGGGAAAAGAAAGAGTCCAATCTATAACATTCGCTTCGGCTACAATTCCAAAAAGGAAAAACACTTATTCAAAAACTATATGTATCTTCTTTGATTAAACATCAACCCCACCCAGTAAAGAGAAGAATCAATATCTCACCTGCTATTAGGATCTTTAAGGTGAATAGAAACTTCACCATAAGAATCATTATCTTGATGGTCAAGAAGGAAAGCACAGGATTTTGAGTCTCCGTTTCTTGCAGTAATTTCTTGAGGTAGAAACGGACGGACTCTAACCACCACCCTAACCTTGGAAACGGTGGCTTGTTTCGAGGGAGTACCTAAATTAACGCTTTGGGTTTCCATTCAAGCAGAAAATTTTGGGAGAAAGAAAGAAAATTGGCTGAGAAATGTTAGAGAAAATGAAGAGAGCGGATACGAGCAGTTTGAAAGACACGAAACAACTTTGTTTAGATTTGGGGATTTTGAATTTTAAAATATCTGACCGTTGGGAAATGCGAGAGAGGGTCAGCTTTTTTTTTCATTTGAATTTGTCTCGCCCGTTGGTTTGCGGGACCCACAATTCCTTTTAAACTCACAATTTTTTATTATTTTTTAAAATATAATTATAATATGTTTATTAGCTAAATAAAACATCAACAACGGCTTGTCATATACACGAGACAAATAAATTTATAATTATCATAAACAAAATATAACAATGATCAACTAATGATAGTCTGGTGAGAAAGAATTTGAACAGTTGAGGCAGCGACATATGAAAACAAAGCACTCTGACTTTTTCGCACACCTAATATAGAGAAGACAAATTTGAAGAATATTCATAATAGATGAATGAAAAATCAATCCTCTTTTAACTGTAGTCTCATCCGACACAAATATCTTACAATCATCAGAATGCCACATACAAACGAAGGAAGAAACTACACATATGGAAAGCAAATAACCAATAAATTTCATAGAACTACAAACCAAGAAGAATACCTATAGAATAAACTTGAATCGAGAGTCCAAAAACACTAGTAATCGTGATACCCTTTATCAGATAAAAGGTTAAGAAAACACATTGTTATAAATATGATAAAATGTCTAAAATATAAGAAAATCAAACTATAATTAATAGAAAAATAATAAAAAGAATGAAAGAAATGGCAGGGAAATGACCGGAAAAGCACTGCCACTACCCTTAACGCAAAGGAATATTATAATCGCCGAGTATGGGGAAAAAACCTGCAACAAAGCAATGTTGAATTAAGTAAACTCACAATTCTTAAATATAAGCTTCATACAAAAATAAGTTCTCAAATTATATCAAATTAAATTTATATGTCTAAAGAATTTTTTTGTTAAGAATAGATGTCTAACGTTTTCGACATTACATTTTTAGGTACCTAAGTTGTAACGACCGTTAAATTCAATCGTTATCTTACATGAGTGGTGTTTATATATATATTTTTATAATTTTTATTTAAAAAAAAATCAAATATTATTAAAAAAAAATTAAGAAAACATTCCTCCCTCCTGCCTACGCAACCTCTTTGTTTGCACAAACATTTTCCCTCCCCCAATTGCATTCAAAACTCCTTCATGTATTAAATGCATATATTATTTTTAACTAAATATCTTATTTGTGCGCAACAAGTTTGTGTAACATCCTCACTACCAGGTTAGTGACTAAATTGTAAAGTTACTGAATTTTGTGTTTAAAGTAAAATAATTGGATAGTTTAAGGACTTATATGAAAATGTGGTGTAGGATCAAATTGAAAAGGAGGAATAGAAGGATAGAATGGTCATTTTCAAGGAAAATAATTAAGATTGGTTATATATTAACCACGTGGAAGTGAAGGAAGCAAAAATCCAAGCTTCCAGACTTCTTTTCTCCTCCTTTCTTCCTTCTTACATGCGAGCCCAACAAAGGTAAGATTTCTTGTTAGTTAAGTTCTTGCTGAAATTAAGGTTGATTTATGATCATTAGATGATAATTAAGCTTAAGGAAAGCTTAATTTGTCTTAAAACAACAAAATAAAAGGCATAGGAATGATTAAATAAATGAAGTGAAAAAGTGAAATCTTGATAGAAAAGTATTAATTAGAATTAGAAGTTAAATTTGAATTGTCATCAATCTAAATAAGGAAAATGAAGTGTTAGAATTAGATTTAAAACATGTGGATATTTGATTATGATTATTGAATACCATATAAAGGATATGATTTTGAGTTTAAAGAAGTGATTATTGAGTAATAATGAATGTAAGTGTATGTATGCAAGTTAGGAATATTAAAGGAGGTGAAACATGAAGTGTGGAGCTGAAAAGGAAGTGAATTTCGTGCTCAAAATGTAATTTATAGGTTGTGTGCATATGTACCCATTCAATGGGTACCGATGCACTCTCAACGAAATAAAAACATCAAATGTAATTAGTGCATTGATGCACAGTGAGTGCATCGATACACCCATTAAGATGAAAACATCGAATGTAATTTGTGTACCAATGCACAGGTAGTGCATCGATACACACATTAAGGAATGCATCGATACACTGTGAAATGTATCGATGCCTACCTTAATTAGGAATGAAAGTAGCCTTTCTCTTAGTCTAAGAAGTGATAGATTAGAATATATCAATTAGTATATTAATATGTATCAATGTATTATTATGTAGATTTAGAGCGTAATCTTGTTCCAGAACAATCGAAGGATTAGGATCGAGTCAAAGCAAGCAAGGCTAAGGTGAGTGCATATCCTAGATAGAGTTATACGGAGATAAGACTTGCGACAAGTCTATCTCTTATAGTTGAAATTATGACTTTACGTTCATGTACATGCATATGTATATATTATTATTGTTATAGTGAATACATGCATAATTTATTCATGCTTTGATATGAACTCATATGAATGAATGTAATTATATGAGAAGCCATTCAGGTATGTGAAATAATGGAAATGATCATGTTTATGCATATGAAGTGAATTATGTGTTTATATGAAAAGTGATAGAAGAAATATGATAATGAAAATTGTAATTATAATTAAGCCCATGTTATTTAATATGAGAGTTGTAGGTATAATTGGCATGCCAAGAGTTGAGGGATTATCAGTGGTCCTTCGGGACATAGTCGTCATTCAGGACAAATATTCAGTGCCCCTAGTGAGATTTTATTCGAGCTGTGGTGATATCATTGTGCACAACCTCAGTTTACTCACGTACCTTCTGTTCTCAATAATGTACATGGGCATCCAAAGATAAATTGAATGAAAACTCTTATAATATGTAAATGTTCATTTGTGCATATCATGTTTATGTATGTAAAAATGTGGTATTTACATGTGCATTGCAAGGTATAATGGATTGAGAGTAGTACATATTCATGATATTATTAGTTTGTGTTCATATTATGTTTCACTAAGTCTGTGACTTAGCGTGTAAGTGATTTACACGTAGGTAGCAGAAATAGAAGTGGCAAGGACAACATTACTACTAGAAGATTAGATCAGAAGTAACTAATAAAATATGTATTTTATCGTATATAATATGTTGGCATGTAAGAAATATATTAGTTACGAATGCTCTGATCGGTTTTGTCTTGTTTTGGTCAACTTATGTAAAGTAACAATGCTATTTTAATGAAAGATTGAAATTTCTTTGGTTTTCTTTAAGAGTCAAAGTTTGAAAAGTTAATGTGACGCCTCAAACTCGTATCCAGGTCGGGTAACTGTTAACTTCCTAAAAAGGCTACTTTTAAGTCCTTTTTCACTTAAGTTATTGTTTGTTTAAAAGCTCATTTTAGGCATTTTAGGATCATGTAGTTGCATATAGTGCATTTGTGGTGGTTGTGCTATTTTATTTCTTAATGGTGTTGTTTGAGGGAAAGGTGCAGTTTGTTTGTGGTGTGCAGGGAATAGCAAGAAAAAAGGATTCTTTGGGAAGTAATGCCGCGGCATCATACGTTGCTAAAGTAGATTGAAATGCCTTAGCATTTTCGGCGCAGAAAAAGACAAAAAAATATTTCTGCATAAGGACAACTGGCACTGGACAGCTGTCTCTGCACGTGAAGGACTGCTGTAACCGCCTGCCAGAGCTGCCAAAGGACCACTACCACTTGGAGGATAAGGTTCATACCCAACATGTGATTCTAGGGGTATGAGGGGTATTTTGCACCCAACAACCTCATCATTACCCCTAGATATTTTTTTATTATATATGACACATCATGGGGGAGAATAAAGAAGAAGAGAGAAGGACACATACGGTAGCAAAAAAATCACATTTTTATTTTCTCTTTTCCTTTATTCTTCATTGGGATATTCCTCTATTGATAAAGCTCCAAGGAGTGGCGAGCTAGGAGCCGAAAGGAGCTAGCGAGCTAGGTGGTTCACGGTGGCCGAGAGGAGACCTCCGGTGGCGCGTCGAAGGCTTCTTCTCAACTTCCCTTTTTGTTGCTATTTTATATTTATTTGTGGGTTGTTGGAACAAATATTTTCATGACTTTGTGTTTGGATATTTTGAACCCCACCATGAACTAACATATTTGGTGGTGGTTGATTTAATGGTTGTTTGAACTTTATTTTTAATGGTATATTTAAGTTTATTTTGGTTCTTTATTTGCTTTGCTTATGAATGCTTCACCATCTAGGCTTGTAAGAGGCATGAAAATGTCCATTTCTTAGATGCAGGTTAGGTATTCGGAAGAATCCTAGACTAAAAATACTTGTAAGTATTCGGAAGAAACGCAAGATAAGATCCTCATAAGCAATGAGTTATAGTATTTTCAAGGGGCTTTGAATCGGCCTAGGAATATTATAACTTAATCCCTTAGATCTCGGAAGAGGCTAGGATAGGATTTCAATGACTAAAAAGGGTGTCTTTATCAATAGGGTAGGCTGGACAACATCGTTGAGTGAGGGCAGATGCCTTGGCATCCTATTCTGTTAGGTTCTTTAGAACACTTTAGGAAAGCCCTGTCGAGTAAGTAAAGACCAGTTAGCTTAAATATACTTGAGAAATAAGTTTAGCATCCGTAGATCAATCCCTACCATTCATTCTCTTGGAAGCTTGTCAAGTGAGGATTATTTTCTTTTCATTTTATCTTTATTTACTGTTTTTACCATTTTTCATTGACTTGACATTTCACCATACTCAACATCAAAAATCCATCATTGCCATTGCATTTCCATTTGCTACACCATCAGACCATCACTACATATCCACCAGCATACACATTTACATTGTCATGACATTTGTATATATCAAGACTAACTATGCTTAGATAGAATAGTGCATTGCTTTGGTTAGACTTTTGTAATTTCATCCAATCCCTGTGGAGACGATACTCACTCATCATTATATTACTTGAGCGATTGTGTATACTTGCACATTATTTGCGTATAATTTATAGTACTCACAACATACGAACAAGTTTATGGCGCCGTTGCCGGGGATTGGCAGCCGGAAGTTATTTAGTTTTGCCAGAGCATTTTATTTTGTTTTTCATTTTTATTTGTGTATAGTTTACTTGATA